AAGCTTTCTAGCTTGCTGATGGTGGCCAAGTCCAACAGCAATCTACCGGCAGTCCAGTCAGGAGCAAACCCACAAGTGTGTTGCTCGGACCCAAATCCAGGTCAAGAACTGGTAGAGTTCAGACAAGGAGTTCAGTAACTAGATTTTGCACTATATCAGACTACTTTGGGAACACTAAAAGCTTACAGGTCCCCAGCTTGACATGACTTTGTTATAGGATAGCATAAGAATAGTACAATACTCAGTATCCCAAGAAAGCAGCTGCAGGACCCCATAGGGGCTCAGCCAAAATATTCCTTCTAGAAATGCATCGTGCCTGGTTCTAACATAAAGTTCAAAGTCAGGAAACAGATTGGAAGAATGAGCAAACAAAAGAGAAGTCCCACCACAAAAAGCTATTATGGTGATAAGGTTGTTCAGAACACAAACCCAAAAGAAGAGAATGCTTTCAAAACATTTATAGGTAAAGCCTCAGAGAAAAGTATGGCTTAAGCATAATTTCAACTAGAATTCCTAGTAGTGAAGCATGAATTTTTAAAAAGAGTTTAAAATGTTTAATAAATTAAATGAGAGCACTAGAAGAAATAGTTGGAAAAGAAATGAGAGTTATGGAAGAAAGAATTGAAAAGGAAAATTAACAGTCTGACACATGAAGTACAAAACCTTACCTAAGAAACAAACTCCCTGAAAATTAGAATGGACTAAATAGAGGATGAAACTATTTGTGATCACTGCTTCCCTTTCTACAGTAAATTATTACAAACCGTGTTTAGAATTTTTATGGGAATTGAAATAAAGCCCACTGCCTGGACTCTACCCTCTTCCCTTTTTAAAAAGTAGAGACAATGTTTGCCCATTCCACCCTATTCTCTATGAATTTTTTAAAACTGCCAATGCCCCCAAAATCATTTCTGTCAGTTCTTTAAAGACCTGATGCTTAGTTCATCTGGACCTGGTGAATCAATCATTGAAAGAGACAATGTGGCATAGTGGGAAGCATGCTGCACTTGGAGCCAGGAAACTTGGATTCAAATCTGACCTCTGTCCAATTATTGAGTGTATGCTCGTGAGCAAATCACTAAACCTCTCAGAACCTCAGATCTCACATCTGTAAAATGGAGATAATAACACTTGCACTAACATACTTAACAAGGTTTTATAAAGGAAATGCTTTAAAAAGCTTAAAGTCCTCCATAAATATAAATAATCATTCCTGAAGACAAATAAGTATTCTCTTCCCATCTCCATGCTCATCAACTCTCCATTCAATTTTTGTCCATCGTTTGAGTCCAGAGAACATTCTCTTTACTAGTAATAATAGCTCACATAACACTTAAAGTTTTGCAAAGTTTTGTACATTACATATAATATTTCAATTGATCCTCATTACAAACTTATGAAGTAAGTCCTGTCATTATCCCCACTTTATAGAAGGGGAAACTGAGACACAGAAAGGTTAGGTTATTTGCAAAGGGACATAAAACTAGAAAGGTCTGAGGCAAGATTTGAACCATAGTCTTCAGGTCCTGACCCTCTCTGGCCTACACCACAGTTGCCTCAAACAGCCAAGTAGTTCTACCACTCCATTTTTTATCACCTTCCCATCCACTACTATCAACAAACCTACCGCTAATTTGATTTTCCTCTTGCCCCCAAAGAAACTCTTTTTATTATGTTTATTATATTCTCCCAGCTAAGCTTGTTCTGAGATTTAAAGTTCTCAGACTATTCTTTTACAAAGTGCCAGTCTTTCATATTCATCCTTAGGTAGCCACCATTTTTTTCCATCTTCCCTACTTGTCTTTGGAAATCTAAATGTGCCAATGAACTCCAATTTGCTCAGAAGAGGTGATATTTTTCCCATTTCCCTTTCCTCATTTTGTCTTCCTACTTGGTCAGTAAGTGGGTTTTTGTTCTCTAATAACCATGCATCTTTCCATTATCAGAAAACCAACATCTTTCATATTATCTTGTTACTGTGCTTATCCATTCAGTCATGGTAGTGTCTTTGAATACTTGAAAATATAATTTGTAACTATTGATCGAAAGAAACGACCACTTGCATTTTAGAGAGCAGCCTGTTCTACAGTCTTGCAAAACCATAAGCATGAAAGTTTTGCAACAGGAAAATAAGTTTGACATGACAGATATTAGTTTTACACAGTTCAATTTTACCTGGATATTGCATCATTTAAAAAGAAAAATGCAGGTAATTGACACTCTGTCGTGTCTAACATATTCTCAATGAATAACAAGAAAACAATCCTTGCTTAAAAGGCCCTGGGCCAGTTGCCTCCTTCAGTTTGATACTCTGCCTTCTTCCTTTGGCTGCAAACTATAGTCTGTAAAGGCAAGAGGAGAGCCAAAGAATACTTACCTTGCTTGAGTACTTACCTTCATTTAATAAGTATTTATTATATGCCTGAGATGTGTAAGATGGTGCCTGGTCAGTCTCCCGTAACTTCAAGGCACTCCGCAACAGCTCCTCCCTCTGACTCTACAGTGGAAAGCCAGCAGACTTGACTGGGGCAGCGAATTAAAAACAAAAATGGAAAAGCCAGAGCCAGTTGATACGGTCTCGCCAATATGTGCCAACAGTCCTATTCAGCAAGCATTTTTAAAGCATCCACTAGGCTAGGCTCACATAAAAGCAGTCCCTGACCTTAAGGAAAGGGATTACGTCTACTGGGAAAGTTGCATAGTGGATAGAGTGCCCGGCTTGGAGCCAGGAAACCTGAGTTCAAATCCAGCCTCAGACACTTACTAGTTGTGTGACCCCAGAGAAGTCATTAAACCCTGTTTGCCTCAGTTTCCTCATCTGGAAAGTGAACTGAAAAAGGAAATGGCAAACCACTTAGTATCTTTGCCAAGAAAATCCCATATGGGATCACAGAAAGGCTGAAACTACTGAACAATAACAACAACATGCAGATACAGGTACAATGCTATAAGTTCTCTTTATGGTAGTAAAACATGTAAATTCTGGGAAAAGATGGACTAATTTTTCAAAGTTAACAAAGGAATAAAAGAAAGTTTTAAATCAAAGTAAAATATACACAAAATTTGCATTTGTGTATTCCCCAAACTTTTGATGTAATATTTCCGTATGTTATTAAGTGATCTAGGAACATTCCAGCTTGAAGGAGTACCAAAAGATTTTCATGTTTTCCTTTGTCAACACTCTTTTTGTGGGAACCCAGTTTACAGAAACCTCTAGGTAGGTTGTATTTCAAGCAAGGAGTGACTGATCTAGTAAGCTTGAAAAGTGACAAGAAGGGCCCAACAGGGAGACTAGTCTTTCCCACCTTGTTAATACCTAGATACTTCTCTAATGTATTGATTGGTTTGACAAGTGGAGACATCCTACAAGTCAGACAGTGAAGAGCTGAAGGTGCTGCCGGAACTTTTCACTCTAAACTCCAGAAGAAACTTGACTAAATAGGAACGGCTCCCTTTCAAGGCCACCCTCTCTCCTACTATGGCAGCCACTGGCAACAGGCAGGCCACAAACTATAAACAGTCACCAATGCTCTTGGCTCTCAAATATGTCCTCCCTCCTAAGCTCAGACTCTTAGGAATCCCTGATTTCCCTTAAAATTCAACTCAAGCACTCCCTTCTGCAGGAGGCCTTTCTCACCCCCCCCCAAGTTCCTGCTGCCTTCCCCTCTAACACTGCTTTCTGCTTTCTCTGTGTTTGGTATGAACTAACTTATGTACATAGGGGGTACAGTGGATAATGAACTGGGTCTGGAATTCAGGAAGACTCATCTCCGTGAGTTCAAATTCACTTACTAGTTGTGTGACCCTGGGCAAGTCACCTAACCTTGTTTGCCTCAGTTTCTCACTGTAAAAAATGAGCTGGAGAAGGAACTGCTCCAGAGAGGCAAACCACTCCAGTATCTTTGCCAAGAAAACCTCAAAATGGGATCATGAAGAGTTAGACACAACTAAAATGACACAGCAACAAAAAAACAATTTATATACATTGTCTCCTTCACTAGAATGCAAAGTCCTTGAGGGCATGGACTATTGCTGGAGGGGGGTATCCTCAGTACTTAACATGTTGCTTGACTCAGAGTAAGTGCTTAATAAATAAATTCCTGTTAGTTGATTGACTTAATAATTTGCAGCAATAATTGACTATAAACATGAATGTTACCCTCAATGGACTAAAAAAAAAATGTTATAATCAGTGATTGTCAGTAGTTTTAAATAAGTGACTATCTTCCCCGATTACCGCATATCTAACTAAACATTTTCATTTTAAAACCTATAGAATTTGATTCAAACTTAAAGGTGGATTTAGATTGTTAAGATTTTTATTTACCTACAGTTCCCAATTGAAAGCTGTATCATACTGGACTGAAAAAAAAATCTTGTGTGGTTTTTAAGCGAGCACATGTAGCCCTTGATGGTGGTTGGGGAGGTGACAAGTTTTTCATCAAATGGAGTTTGTCGGTTTGTTTTAATGGCGTTTTCAAGAAGAAGCTCAAAGTAACTAATTGAGGGATTGTTCTATGGACAATGTTTACAGGATGATGGAGGTTTTCCATTGTCTGAAGTAATCCCCAGTGGGTGTTGTGAAAGTCGAAGGTACGATATTATCACTTGGAAAGAGAGGTGGCTATGCTATTGTCTTCTGACCCCTCTCCTTTGAATGTCAACAAAACCCTTTCTTTCCTCAGTTCTTTCTTTACCCAAATCAAATGCATGGCCAGGAAAGGAATTTAATCCTACTTATTGAGGCACCCAACCAGCTCTGCTAAGGATTCCTCCTCCATGCTTAATGTAAACTGGTTTTGAAGTCAGAGGACTTGTATGTGAATCTTGGCTCTGCTGCTTGCTGCCTGTGTGACCTTGGGCAGCTCCTTTGTCCCTTCTAAGTTGCAGTAAAATGACAGGGTTGATTTAGATGACCTATAAAGCCCCTTTTAGATCTTTAATCAACTTTTAATCTAAGTAAAATGAGAGACAGTAACACACATGATTTTTTATTTCAGATGCAACAATGAAAATGAATGGTACCAGGTCCATGAAAATATCATCCGAAAGTCTAGCACAAAGTACACTGCCCCCAGCTCCAACTACGGTAATCTATTTCTTTTGAATAGAATAACTTGCTGAAGTTTGTATGATTGGGCTCAGGCCATGTGGTCATCCCGATGTTTGTTGCTAAACTTTTATGTCACCTGCTTGCTCTCCCTTCATCACTCTCTGGATAAGTGACTTGAGGTCAAGCCTAATTATGCCTTTCTTTTGTCCGGGCCCAGGAAATGTGTCATTGGAGTCATCCTACTAAGACTTGGGTTTTCTTGAACAAAACCATCAACTCAGAATAAAACTGACACTTAGTAAAGTAACTTCTTTTTCAGCTACTGCTCATTCAGTGTGTCATAGGGAAACTACGTCACTAATCAGTGTCAGTGATTAATCTAGCAATATCAGTCACTATAGGATGAGAATAGAAAATATTTCCCTGTAAGTGACTTATATCTCTTTCCTGAACTTTTTCAAACAGAAGTCATTGAAATCCTTGCTATTGAAACCTAGGGATAGTTGGACAGAAAGTTATTTTGTGATTCAATCTGAAAATGATGGTTTGAAATATATATGACTCTTGAAATCATCTTATACTTAGCTACTGAATTTGCAACAGAAACGGGTATTTATTTTTGCCATTTTCATCAATAAGTTATTTCATAACCACCTTTTCTTAACCTTTTTTTGTCCTCAAACTTAGACTTTTCTGGGAACTATGAGTTGGTCTTGAATGACAATATAAAACCAACATGCCATTTGCAGGCAGAGAACTTCCTAGACAATTTTGACTGTCAGAAGGAGCTTATTTTTTGCTCTATAAATATAAATGGATATCTGAGTAGGAGGATCTTTGGAGCAGCTCTAAGCCAGAGGCTGCAGAAGGAGAAGCATTCTGGAAGGCACGTTTGGCTCCACTTACACATTGCAGTGTGGGTGTCATCCATACCTACTGAATTATTTATTTAGCCAAGGTTGCTTTTCCTTGTATGTGTACTTCAGGATTAGGCACAAAGTGATGATGACTGCCATTGCCATCTGGATGCTGAGGAGCACCTTGTGTAGGTGCTCGGAATTGCATAGCCTTGGTCTAGTAAATGTGCGTGCACAGTCAACCTCTCTCTGAAATAAGAGGAAAAGAAGAACTGGCCAAAAGCTAGATTTAAAACATGGGGAAAAGTCCCAAGTTATCTATGGAAACACAGTCCCCTTTCATCTCTCTGACATTTTTTGTCTTATTTATGTGTTTTGTTCACAAAATGATGCCCTTGACTCTGAGTTCTTCAACCACAAGCATGATTAAAGCTCATGTGACATATTTAAGACAAGTGGGAAAAATAAGAATGCATTAATTAGGAAGCAGTCCCAACATTGCCCCAAACTCAAAAAGATTGGGTTTTCTTTGCTCCCTAAAATTCTAGGTGCTTTTAATGTAGAGGCAATGACTAATCTGTCACACACACCCCTTTGGGTTTTTCTTTTTGGTTTTTGGTTTTGTTCAAGATCTAAATATATTGGGCATTTAATAGTCAGTCAATAAGCATTTATCAAGTGCCTACCGTGTGCCAGGCTCTGTGCCAAGCACTGAGGATACAAGAAGAGGCAAAAGATAATCCCTGTCTTCAAGAAGCTTACAATCTAATACGGGAATGGTTGTTTAAGAAAAGTAACAATGAGGAGCAGCTAGGTGGCACAGTGGATAGAGCACCGGCCCTGCAGTCAGGCGGACCTGAGTTCAAATCCGGCCTCAGACCAAACACTTGACACTTACTAGCTGTGTGACCTTGGGCAAGTCACTTAACCCCCATTGCCTAAAAACACAAACAAACAAACAAACAAACAAACAAAAAAGAAAAGAAAAGAAAAGTAACAATGAGAGAATATAGCTATTCTTGCTATTATAACCAATATGTAGTGAGTGTCTTCAATGACTTTACCAGGCATAGAGATAACTACTCTTCCACTACCAGGGATTAAATACTGCCCCAATTTGAGGAAAAGGTAAGAGACTGTGCTTTCATCTAAGCCCCAGTGTGTGGGAAATTTCTAATATGCCACAAACCCCATTTCCTACAAAAAGTTATAACCTTAGTCTCTGGTGTTTTGTACTGACACTTTTCCCCTGGCCTACTCTGTTTTTATTGGCCTCATCTGCCTGCATTTCTCACTTTGGTGAAAATCAAGAGCCAAACAGAATGGCACAGACCTAAGTCAGTGCCCAAAGCTTCTTTCAAGGCCACTAAGAGTGACAGTGGTAGCTTCACAGCTCTAGGAGCCTGAACAGTATCAGAATGACAAGATAATAAAGAGAGGCTGCAACAAAGTCTGAAACAAAGTTAGGTCTTGACCAATCCTAAGTGATAAAGGAAAAAGTTACCAGTGTCATCTTGAGACATTTCTTGCAGGTGTAGGAAAAGCCAAGGGATTTTGAGTATAACAGTTCCTGGAAATGAATAGATCACTTTTCTAGACATATATGAATTTATATCTGCAAATTATTTCTCTTTCACCTGCACCCTGATAGATTTATTTCTGGGTATTTCTTAATTTGCCAAAGGGATATTGCTGGCCAAATTCTGAATCTTGCTTCATTCTGTTATTCTACTCAGTTGAAGATCCATTTTTTAAAAATAAATTTCCTTTGCTTTATCCCATCACTAACCTGAGTTAAGCTCTATGGACAGTTAATTTAGAACTTCCAATGCAATCACTTTCAAAGATTCTTAGATGTTTTCCCTAAAGTTGTCATTTAGAATTACAGAAAGAAATTTCTGTTTTGGTTGTGGGTATTGAGAAAATATATAATTCTCCAGTAACTCTAACATATTCTCATCTATCCCTCCTTCTCTCCCTTCCCCTACCTCTCTCTCCCTCTTTTTCCTTTCTCTCCTCTCCCTCTCTTCTCCCCCATCCTCTTCTCCCCCTCTAACTCTTTGCTTTCCCTTTGTCTACCTGTACTCTTTCTCTCTCTCTCCCTCTCTCTCTCTCTCTCTCTCTCTCTCTCTTTACCCTCTTCCCTCTCCCCTCTCCTTTCTTTCCTCTTTCTCTCTCCTCTTTTTTAGTAATATACACATTTTTCATTTGGCTTATTGGGATATCAAATACACTGTCATTCAGCATGGAGCAATTCCCATTCACATAGAGGTCATTAAGAATAGCTGTAGACAAATTAAATAATTAACAGGCAATTTTTCTGTATTTTAAATATGTATTTTTATATTTAGGATATTAACCACAGAGCTATTTCAGCATCTGGGCTGAGATTAATTTAGATAATTAATCCCCATCCAACCATTCAACAAGTAGAAGATTTCACAGCATGGTTGCCAACGTTGCCAACCCACAAATGTCTCATATAGGTGTCATTTTGACCAACTATTTTTAATGGAACAAAATTCAAAATTTAGGTTGCTAGTTTTAATGCAATTTTAAAGTGTTCTCGTGTTGGATGATTAAAGGAACCAAAAGTCATTCTATAGAATTAAGTTAGATTAAAGTTACTGGTTTAGGAGACTGTGCAACAGCTTGGAAATTATCTAGAGGATAACTCATCAGTAAGATTTAGAGTCAAGACCTGGATCTCAATCCTAGCTCTTTCATCTATTGCTAAAGTGATCTTGAGCAAGTCACTCTACTTCTGTACTTCCAGTCTCTTCTCTCACCTCCATCTACTTCTCACTACTTACACAGCTACGCCCTTAGTTCATTCCCTTATCACCTTTCACCTGGACCATTGCAAGGACCTCCCAATTACCTTCTTTCTTCAAGTCTTTCCCCATTCCAATCTATCCTCCACACAGCTGTCAAAATGATTTGCCTTAAGCCCTAGTCTGAAAATGTTACCCTCCTATTTTAATAAACTTCAGTGATGCCCTATTTCCTCTAGGAAAAAGCATAAAGTATCAAGTCTTCCATCTGGCTTTTAAAGCCCTTCACAACCTTTCTAGTCTCAATACACATTATTCCTTTTCTCTTAATTTATAGAGCAACCCCCATGCCTGCAATGTGGTTGCATCTTCCCTCTCTACCTCATAGATTTCCTCACTTCATTCAAGACTTAGCTCAATTAGGACCATTAAAATCATTATGCAATTTCCCAAATGCAATTGGGGTGGGCAGGGGCCGGGAATGCAGCTCAAACCCCACCTTCAACACAAAGTCTTTCTTGCTCCCAGCCCCTGCCCAAGCTAGGTATCCTGCCTCTCTGACTATCTTGTTTTAATTTTTTATTTATTCTCTCTATATTTACATGAATCCATATTGTCTGTCAGGTAGGATGAGAACTGTTTGAGAGCAGGAGTAGTTTAATTTTGTTGAGCCTTGTCTTTTCATCCCCAGTGACTAACACTGTGGCTAAAACAAAGTTGTTGTTGTTGCTATTGTTGTTGTTGTTCAGATGTTTCAGTCATGTCCAACTCTTCTTGACATAGTAGTCCTTTAATAAATGTATGTTGGTTGGCAGTATTAGAAGATTCCTGGCCAGCTCTCCTTTTCTAGAATCCATTCTAACCAAGAATCGTTTGCATTTGTTGTTTGTTATTACTTCAGTAGGCTGCCAAAGCAAGTTACAATTTTGAAGGTTGTAAATAATTTTTCATTACCAGTTTTTTAAATTAACTACTTTCTGATGCCACAGAGGGAAACACGTTAGTCTCATCAGTACTATTTAAAGATTCCAAAGCAAAGGATTCTAAGAGACAGTGATAAAGAAGTCCGGTATTCTAGGTATAGGTGTCAGCCTGTGCAAAGGCACAGACATAAGAGATGTCATGCCACATTCAGGGAACATCGAGGAGGCTGATTTGCTTGAAACATAGACTGAATGAATGGAAGTGAGGTGAAAGATGTCTGGAAAAGTAGGTGGGAGCCAGGTTCTAGAAGGCTTTAAATGACACGTTGGGGAATTTGTATTTAAGCCAAGAGGCAACAGGAAGTCAGTAAAGATTTTAGATAGGAGAATGAAATGGTAGATCTGTTTTGAGAATATTGTTTTTGCATGAACAAATTGGAGAATGAGGAGAGGATGAATTGAAGAGAAAGAATTAGAGAATGTTGAAGCAAAGGACCAGTTAGGAACCTATTGCAATAATATTTCTGAACATAGAAAAGGGTCTAAATTAGGGAGGTGAGTGAAGAGAAGGGACAGATAAAAGAGCTGTTATGGAGGTAAAATCAACAAGAATTTGGCAATTGATTTGATCTGGGGGATGAAAGGAAGGGAAGAGTGAAAGATCCAATCCAATCAATATTTATTAAGCACCTACTATACCAAGCACTGTGCTAAGACTGGGGATACAATTAATAAAAAGAAAGATAGCCCCTGCCCTCAACAAGTTTATAATCTAAAAGGGGAAGCAACACACAAAGAGAGACAGGAAAAGGAATGAGGAGGGACAGGACATCAAGGAGTACCCAGGACAGGCATCTTTTTCCATGGAGTTGAAACCAGGCAGGGCAGCAAATGCAAAGTGACGTGATGTGAAAGTCCAGTTTCTGCCCTCTGTAAAGGATGGCTTTGGGAGGAGTTTGATACTCTGCCCTCCAGTAACAGGGGAGAGGAAACTGAAGGAAGTAGAGTCAATCAAGTGTGAATTAACAGTATGGTGGTGAGTTTAGAAGTGGTGGATGACTTTTTCCTGGGAGGGGCATCTTGTTCCTTGGAGTGGAAACCAGGCAGAGCAGCAAATGGAAAGTGGAGTGGTTGACTCTGAAGTTGCAAATATGGGTGACTGGAAGAATGATGGTGCCCTCAACAGAAATGGGAGAGTTAAGAGAAAGAATGGGCTTGAGGAGAAATATCATGAGTCCCATTTTCAGACTTGCAAAATTTGAAATGCCAATGTTATATCTAATTAGAGATATCTATCAAGTAGTTGGAACACCCAGTTGGAGGGATCTGCAGGAAGTATGAGACAGCTAGATGGCACAGTAGATAGAGTGCCAGGTCTGGAGTCAGGAAGACCTGAGTTCAAATCCAACTTCAAACACTTACTAGCTGTGTGACCCTGGGCAAGGCATTTAACCCTATTTGCCTCAGCTTCCTTGTCTGTAAAATGAGAAGGAAATGGCAAACCACTCCAGTATCTTTACCAAGAAAACCCCAAAAAAAGGGGCCCTGAAGAGTCAGACATGACTGAAAATGACTGACCAACAATGTCAAGTAGTTGGTGGTATAGAACTGGAGTTCATGATAGTATACATAGATTGGGTAGTCATCTGCACAGAAATGATAATATTGATGAGAGTTTAAGGAGAGAAAAAGACCCAAGACAGAGCTAGGGAGTGGGGGGAGGGAAAAGGATGATGATCCAACAAAAGAGAAAGAGGAGAGGTCAGATAGGTAGACGAGCCAAGACAGAACTGTCACAAAAGCCAAGGTAGGGGCAGCTAGGTGGCAAAGTGGATAGAGCACTGGCCGTGGAGTCAGGGGGACCTGAGTTCAAATACAGGCTCAGACACATGATATTCACTAGCTGTGTGACCCTGGGCAAGTCACTTAACCCAATTGCCAAGCCAAAAAAAAAAAAAGCCAAGGTAGAAAAGAATGTCTAGGAAGAGAAGGTGGTGAAGAGTATAAAAAGTTGAAGAGAGGTCAATAGAAGGAAGAATGAGAAAAGAGCATTGTAGTTACCAATTAAGAAATCTTCAGTAATCTCAAAGAGAGTAATTTCAACTGAGTGGTAGAGTTGGAAAGCAAATAAAAAAAAGGGATGCAATAAGGATAGGTCTTTTGGCTGTGAAAGGGAAGTGATATAAAGACAATAACTTGGTGAGGTTGGTTGCGGATTTTGTTTGTTTGTTTGAAGAATGGATGAACCGGGGCCACCTTTGTAGGGCAGGAGGTAGTGGATAAGAAGATACTGAAGATAGGGTACAGAGGGGGAGCAGGGTCCCATGGGAGATAGGAGGAGCTGGGATAAAGAGCACAAGAAGGAAAATGAGAAGGAAAATCTCTTCCTTAGGGACTGTAGCAAAGAAGGAAAGAATAGAGCAACAATATAGGGCAATTTGGTCACTTGGTATAGGAAAGAAGGAGGGGGACCTCGACAGATGGTTTCCATATTCTCAGTAAAGTGAGGTGCTCTGATGAGATGAAAGGGGAAAAGGAAAGGTTTCCTGGGGATAAAAGAAAGAGTTTAGAATTACTGCTATGAAAAATGTGATAGAGAATTAATCAGGGAAGAATAAAAGGATTTCCTTATATAAATGAGAGCCTACTTAAGATTAAACAACATTAATTTGTAGTGAACCCAGTTGATATAATCACATAACTTTGTCTTGGTATAAGCATGTGACTTTGTCTATCTGCATTCAGTAGCATACCAGGAAGAATGGAAAAACCAGATCTTGAGGGCAACCTAGTGTTGATATCTGATGTCATGGCTGGTAAGCAGGAGAGGGTTTTAAGGGAAGAAATTAGTGTATAGTTGAACTAGTCAACCATAAGGTCAAAATTTTGATGGGAGGTAAGTGAGATCAGAGCATGAGTGACTGAGTAGAATAACAGGTAGAGGGATTGAAGGAGTAAGTTCAAAAGGAATTAGGAGTAGGGAGAGGCAAAGAATACAAGAATATTAAATACAGGATTACTGCCTTCCAGAATTTGGCATACTTCCCAGTATAAAAAACAATATGTAACATTGCTCACACATTTCCAACCAGTGGTAAACTGTGGCCAGGAGGTCTTTTTTTTGGCACACTTATCTCTAAATAGTTTTTATCCATCTAGCTTCTGCAGACTATTTGGGGCTTTTCCTAAGAAGACCCCCTTGCATAGAAACTGTCAAATTTTTCATCTTATTTTTGTTAAACCATTTCTTTATTTGTCAAGGTCACTCTGACTCATGTTCCGTTAGTTTTATGCCTCGAGGTATTTCTGAATAGCAGAATATTTCTGCAGAGTAGCTTATATTTTCTGCATGATGGCTTTCGAAAGAAAAACCCTGCATACAATATATTTTCCTGTGGATGGAGTTCCTGAGTTATCCTCAGTAGCACCTCATATGACTCAAGATGGAATTGTAAATTTCTTTTTAAGATGGAATTGTGGCTCTGAAAAAAAGTTTTTTTGTTTCTTGCAGGTCTTATAATTTCTTTGCAGCTTCTTCGTGGGGACATGGACCAGATTCGGAGGGAAAATCCTATGATCTTTAACAGAGGCTTGGCAGTTACCAGGAAATTGGGTTTCCCTGATGTCATCATGCCAGGTAGGCAGAACTGTTCTGGGGGCTCCCAGAGAGTGTTCACAGAATCAAGTCAGCTCTTTCAGCTGTGGTTGGTCAATATACCTATTCTGAGCCATCTTTAGATTCACTGGGCTCCACCCTGCCACCAGTTGAATCTTCTGCTAGCCGTAGGTGCTGGATTCATCTCATAAAATCATACAGAACAATGTTCAAAAGTTCTACATAGACACAACAGATGGGTTTTCTTATCTGACACCCTCTCTGATTTCTACAGTGAAAGAATATGTATATCAAGGTCAACATTTCAACTTTTTATGTTATGTCACCAATCTCATAGGAAAACAACCACAAGTGTCCTATTCCTTAAAGGGATAAAAAATGGCAAAGTATAGGAATGCAATTTTGATGAGAATGATTGGTGCTCTATGAAAGCTGAAGAGAAATCTCTTTTTTAAAATTATAATAGTGCAGGATCATAAAAAGCATCATTTTAAAATATGGTATGCAGGCATCTTCAGTTTAAACGTGTGTATATATACAAGTAAGTCACCCAAAAGGAGTCTTGGATCCAGGTGCCATAGGTCCAAGATATTCTGACATACACCTTATGCCCTCGAAGGTAACCCAGTCAGTCTTGTATGATCTTTGACTTCTTGTCTTAGCCTGCCAACCAAATAACGAAGTTTTGTAGATACCATGTTACTAAACAATGAACTGATGCCATTACTTATTATTCTTCTTTTAACCATCTAGTCCCACACATTCCATGGTAATGCCTCCTGAGATGACACTAAATAAAACATGTAATGTTTCTTCCCTGCTCATCCCTGTTTCAGAAACCTAATTCCTCTAAAAGTTGTAAGCATTTGTATATGAAGAGAGTGAATCTTAAGTTTCATTTTGGAATGTGCATAAAACCACATGAATGGGGTAGGAGAGAAGCATCTTTCAGCTGAAATATTTTTAAGCAGAATTTCATTTCGAGAGATATTTTCAAAGTCACATTTGAGAAAAGAGGTCCTTTGATGAAGCAGCTGGGTGTCCCTTTGCCTCATCAGCATACCAGGATCTGTAAAGGGTTTATGGGTACATTCCACAGAGCAGTTGAAGTAAGAGAAGAGGATGAATTGTGCCCTCTAAATGACAGCTGATGGAGTATCATTAAAGTCAGTCTGCAGAAAAGTTCATGTCATTTACCCCCATCAGCCCATTCCAGGGACAACCAAACTACACCTGCTAAGTGAAGTCGGTTCTTGGGTCAGTTAAATTGGAGACTTAGAGTTAGCACAGCAGAAGCATGGCTGAAAGTGCCTTGAGAGCAGGAAGCAGACCTACTTCTACCTGCTCTGCTTCCACACACACCCTTCTTCACTTGGCAGAGAGGGTTCAAGCCTCTACTGCACAAAACAATCCTTTGTGCATGTCGTTACCACCAGATTATGCCCCATCACCAGCTAACAGCCTCCTGATATCTCCTAAATCCCTCTCAGACTGGGACCTTGAGATTCCATAGTTCAGCAAAACATTATAGCACTGAGGCTTTACCTGGTGGTCAAACTACCTCCAGAGAAATGCTGACTCTGACAAATTCTCTATGGCACATCAACCCATCCATCCTGACACACTTCCCTGGTGTCAGGGAGCCAGCAATCATCTGCTAAGTAGGAATGTTCAGCTGATACAGTTGTCTGTCCTATAGTCTCATTCCAGTGATTTCCTGTCCACTTCACAGCTGTGAAATAGCACAATGTTATTCCCTCCAATGCATACAGCTTTATGGTAGCGAAAGCTATAGTTGTAGCAAATGGGTACTTAAGGAAATAGCTACTAAAGTTGTGAGTGGAGCTGCTGCAGAGTTTCCTAACAAGCCTGAAGGAGTCATAGTAAATGGGGCCATGACAGCTAAGTAGGTGAAGGTGATTTTCCCATCACTTCAAGGTCCAAGTGAAAATAAGTGTGTCTTATTAGAATCCCTGGTAAGGAGAGAATCACATCTTCAAACCACAATGAGTTGGCAGTTAATTGAAGATCACACATCAGAAGAAATGCAAGAATAGGGATTATGGCCAGAGCATATTTGCAATGCTTGAAGTGAGAGTTTTTGCAGTCTCCAATCCAAGACACCACAGTGTCTTACATCATGTTCTCTCACTGTCTAGTCCACCAATATTAAGAAAGGGGATGGAACTTTTATTGTACTGTTAGAGTTATTTTCCAAATGCTTTTTCTGGGCTCCACCACCTGACAGCCATCCTACTTTGTTCAGAATATGGGGACTAGGCAGGAGTATTTTGACCATGAGCCATAAACTATTCAAACTACCCCCAAGCTCCTGGATTGATAGTGGCAAAGAAAATGCTAGCCTTGGAAATATCACCTTTGATTTTAAAGGCTAATCTTAAGGATGGTTTTGGAAATATTTTTTCCAGCAAATCATTTTTTTCCTTAACTGAACTCACCATCTTATGTTGATGGGGTAGCTAGCCATCAGTCATTTTTGCTTACATGTTTATGTTCTTCCTTACTCTAAATTCATCTTTTTGTGCATTACAAGCTAATAGCTTTGTAGCAAAATTTCGGTCCCTTATAGATTTTCTTAACAAGATAATCAGAAAAGACTGGAGCAGAATAAGCTTGATAGATAAACAAGGCTTCCTTGGTCAGTGTGGCTTCTATTCCAGAATTCATTTTAGATTCTTAATACTAGCTATATCAAACTGCCTACCATTTTTGGAAGAAGGGAGGGAGGGAGAAAAATTAGGAACTCAAAATCTTATAAAAATGAATGCTAAAATATTTTCTTAATATGTAATTGGGGGGAAAAGTACTATTTAAATAAATAAAAAAACAGATTCTTAACACTATCATCTGAAAGACCATAACTTGAAATGAATGGTTTGAAATCAATTTTATGGCTATTTTATTAAATAGATTTTATTTTAGGGCTATTTTATTAAAGAAATTAAATACATTTATTATATTAAATCTGTTTTACTGAACAAACATCATGGGTTAAGAAAGAGCAAGAGCCCTTTTCCCTAATCCATTTAAAGACAATTAATACAGAACCACCATTTTCTTAAGAGAGCAACCTTCCCTTTCTCTGTGAATTTCTGTATAATACAGAAAACCAAAAACTAGCAGCATGCCATATGCTCACCTTTGAGGTGCTAATGAAGATGGGCATGTCTACCACATGCTAAGTTTGACTCAACACTCCTGATCTCTAGCCCTTTGTGGAGAATCAGGGCCCTGGCGCGCTTCTGGAGAACACTCCTAATAATTAATTCCTCCGGAAATTCTAACCTTGGAATTCCCAACTTGGTTGTGACATGAGCCACGTGTCATGCTGATTATTAAATGTTCTTGTGTCTGTCTTTGTCATTCAGGAAAAAGGATTCAGTTGAACTAGCCCTGTGGTTGAGTGTGTGTTTCTAGCTGCTGACTGAGGTTTTCTCAGAGAATAAAATTGCTTTGATCCTGGGGCAGGACTGGGGAGGGGGGTAGGAAAAGGGACTGCCACTCCCTGAGTGATATGGGGTGGGCCAGGCCATGTGCTGCTTGCCTTTGGAATGGTCCTTGACTTGTATGCTGAATTTGCTGAGTAGAAATCAGCTGCCTCCGCATGGCAGTGTCTGTCTTCCCAACGATCCCCTTCCCTTATTCACCTGCTTAGTAGTACACTCTGCCTCTTACTCTGAGCCTCTGATGAAAAGTGCATGCTTCATCATTGATCTGTGAGTGATGTTTCTTTCTCTTGTTCTCTTTCTCTCTGTCTTAATTTTTCTTGTTCTCTCTGTGTTATCCCTTCATTGTCTCCCCTTTCTTTCTGATGCAGAGATGAAGATAGTTGGGTGTAAGTTCCTGCTTTTCTGTTCAATGTCTGCTGCTTGCTTGCTTTTTCTCCATCTCCACTTTTTTCATGGAATGTTGGTGAAGGTAACAAATCATTGCAATATTGGGGGGAAATCATGTACATTCTCCACCCTTCACCAACCTCCCCTACCTTGGGCAGATTAGAAAGAAGATCTGTTGGGAGAGGTCCAGCAGGTGAAACTGATGGCACAGCCCTGAAGACTTGGAAAGGCACCGCTTTGGACCTTCAGTAAATCTTAGCAAGAGGAGCGCTCCTCAAAGATGAGACTGAGGGCTTCTCAACAGTATGCAGAACACCCTTGGGGTGAATCCATTCACAAGTAGGAGGGGAAATAGAACAGGTTACAAATACATGAAGGGATTTCTGTGAAAAAGACAGGCCAATTACTCACATTAGTGAAGGAGAGATTGAGTGGCATTCTTGTCTCAGGCAGCAAGGGATAAAAAGGTATCTGAAAAGGCTTTTCTAGTTCATTACCATTTATTCTTTCCACTCTTTCCGGACACACATGACATAAAAGAACTGTTTACAGTGAATGCACTTCTAAGGAAGGGAGATGTCCTGAGCTGCTACAGGTTGGTTCATAGGAATATAACCAGAAGTCTCTGATGAAAATTTTGGCAAATCTAATAATAATTAATAATAGCACTTTAAGGTTTGCAAAGCACTTTACAAATATTCTCATTTTGTCTTCACAACAACCCTGGGAAGTAGGTGCTATTATTATCCCCATTGTACGGATGAAGAGGCTGAGGCAGACAGAGATTAGGTGATTTGCCCAGGGTTAAATAGCTAATAAGTGTCTGAGACCAGATTTGAACTCAAGACTTCCTGACTCCAAATCCAGCATTCTGTCCACTGTGCCACCTAACTGCCCACTGTCTCTCAGGGATGCCTGTGGAATCCACTAATCTGCTCTGTGAGGAGAGCATGAGGAGAATGTGATGTTCATTGGCCTTGAGAAAGGAATAAATATGATCCTATAGCCTTGAGAAAGGTGGCAAGGGTAATGGATGAGAAGTAGTCTTGGAAGTCTAGAAAACTAGCTTTCAGTCTTCCTCCTGACATATACTACCTGTGTGACCTTGGGCAAGTCACTTAACCCAGTAACCCAGACTTCTCTTCATGGGTGTAAGCTCTAGTT